ATCCAGGATTGGGGGTGGGTTTAGGGGTGTGGGTCTAAGATTGGCTGCAGCGATGAGCCTTATTGATCTGTCTACAACCATGGCCAGCATGGCCAAAGAGTCCTGCATTCTGGAGAGCTCATGTTCCCCAACTTCCAGTGGCTGGCTGGACTGCAAGGTCAGTTTTGCTATGAATTTGTACCTCTAACTTTTAGAAATGTGAGAAAAGGACAGTCCTTTCACTGTGATGTAGTGCTTTATGCCAATCTTTCTTTTTTAAAACTCATTCTTATGAGACTCTGCTTAGAGAAAAGGCACCCTCTTTGTGAAAGGAATATCAGAACTGACCTTTCCATCTTCTCAGAAAAATAGGTTTATCCCTATTCTGTACTAGCTGTAGGAAAGGTGGTGCTGTTGGTCCCCTATTATAGTTGACAATGGGCAGCAGATGCCCCGAGTGTATTTACTGTAATATTCTTACTCCTCCCATGGCTTGTTTTGGGTTCTCAGTCTTTGTTCATCCCACATCAGTGTGTGCTTAAGATGACATGAATTATATGTAAAGCACTGTAAGCTTCTTAATGTCTTGGTGCAATTTTAATTTCTTTTGTCCATTAATTTGACTGCCTTACCAGTGATATTTTAAATCTCTAAAAGTGGGTGAGAAGGAACTGGTTGGTATGTAGCTTACTGTTGTTGTGTTTCTCTGTAACAGGCATCCAATATTGATGATGTCTTGAGCCATCACACAAGCTTCCTGGATAACTGCCTAAAGGACTGCATGCTAACAAATCCTGAGCTGCTGAAGATCTTCTCCAAGCTGATGTCCGTCTGTGTCATGTTCACAAACTGTATGCAAGTAAGCAGCCTCCCTGCATTCACCTGGCTGCTGATAGTTGTTTAGTGTGCCACTCCTTTCTTAGAGTGCAAATCTTTTGACTCGTTCCTCTTTTTGCCTGCTGAAACACTTTGCCTCTTTGAACAGGAAGAGGCACTCTAACTGAAGTGTTGAGATTTCAAACGTCTTCCTCACTTACGTCCTATATTTTGAATTTATGGGGAACAGTTGCTGTTCCTCCAGCTTGTGGGCACTGAGCATTATTTAATGATCAATTTTAAGATGGTTCTTGCTGCTGCATCCACATCACCTCAGTGTGCAGAGTTTATCACCTGGAGGCTTATCACCAGTTTATCACCCTGGCTCCCCAGGGAACCACGTGACCAGAGCCACCCGGTGCATGAGACAGGGAAGGGTAGGGTGCACTTCAGTCTCCAGCTCTAGCGAGAGACTCACAGGTGGAAGCCCATTGCACCCCCATGAGCTCAGGGACCCCCAGAACCCCCCAAGTGGACCCCAGGACCACCGATGAGCTCCAGCCTACCTGGAGGTAAGCAGGGGCCTGTAGTGGGAGGGATGTAGCCCAGCTGCAGGGGAGCTGAGGAGGGTCCTCCTAACCAGGATCAAGAGCTCGACCAGGAATTCTTCAAAGAACTGGCTGAGGCTGCACGCTCCCAGTGCATGGTTGTCATGGGAGATTTCAACTACCCAGACATCTCATGGGAAGAGCACTCAGCCAAATCCAAACGGTCGCAAAGCTTCCTCACATGCTTGGATGAGTTCTATCCGACTCAAGAAGTCTATAGACCAACGAGAGGCAAAGCGCTGCTCAACCTGGTACTGGCAATGGGGGATGATTTAATCAGCAACCTAATGATCGAAGGGAAGCTGGGAGACAGTGACCAGTTGCTGATCATCTTCCCCATCCACTGTAAAGCTGGCAAGTCAGTCAGCAATGCAGAAGTCCTCGACTTCAGAAAAGCTGACTTCGACAAGCTCAAGAGGCTTGGCGAGGCCCTAGGGGACCATGACCCGAAGGGGAGGGGAGGAGCGATCCTGGAAGCACAAGCAATGACTATCCCATCTCAGAGGAAAGGCAGCAAAAGGGCACACAGCAGTTCCCTTGGCTCTGCAGTTAACTTGTGGACCTCCTGTGTCTAAAAAGAAAGACCTATAAAGGATGGAAGACTGAATCCACCTCAAAGGAGGAGTATTCTGCACTGGTCTGGACTTGTAGGGAGCAAACCAGGAAAGCCACAACTGTGACTGAACTTCAACTGGCTACACATATCAAAGACAATAAAAAGTCCTTTTTTAGATATGTGGGGAGCCGGAGGAAAAACAAGGGTCACATTGGACCCCTGCTAAACCATATGGGACAACTGACAGCCAGGAAAAAGCCAGCCTGCTTAATGAGTATTTTGTATTGATTTTTCACCAGCCCCAAGGGATGGCCAGGGTGGGGGAGAATTGTTACCTTTCATCAATGTAGACCATGTGAAGGAACACTTTAAGAGGCTGGACACCTTCAAGTCAGCTGGCCTTGACAGCTTACACCCCCGGGTACTTAAGGAGCTGGCAGGCATCATAGCTTGGCCACTGGCATGGATCTTCGAGAACTCGTGGCACTCAGGTGAAGTACCCAAAGATTGGAAGAAGGCCAGTGTGGTGCCTATCTTCAAGAAAGGGAGGCAAGTAGATCCGGGAAACTACAGGCCCATCAGCCTGACTTCCATCCCAGGGAAGAGCTTGGAAAAAATTATCAAAGAGACCATTCTTGACAAACTGGCTGATGGCAACATCCTGAGGGATAGCACGGGTTTGTTGTGAGTAGGTCTTGTCTGACCAATCTCATCTCCTTCTATGACTAGGTGACATATCACTGGGACAAGGGAGAAGAGATTGACATCATATATCTTGATTTTAAAAAAGCCTTTGATCCGGTGTCCCATGATCTCCTCATGGAAAAATTGGCCAACTGCGGCCTCGGCTACATCGCCGTCTGATGGCTATGGAATTGGCTCTGAGACTGGACCCAGAGAGTGGTAGTTGACAGAAGTAAATCATTGTGGTGTGCCTTGACCGGTGGGGTCCCCTAAGGCTCCATCCTTGGGCCTATACTTTTTAACATCTTTATTAATGATGTGGACATTGGTATCAAAAGTGGACTGGCCAGGTTTGCCTATGACACCAAACTTTGGGGTAAAGCGTCCACACCTGAGGACAGGATGGTGATCCAGGCCAACCTAGACAGGCTCAGAAAATGGGTGGACATAAACCTGATGGCGTTCAACACCAGAAAATGCAAGGTACTCCACCTTGGGAAAAAAACCTCTGCAGCATACTTATAGGCTTGGCAGTGCTACTCTTGCTAGCACCGTGGCTGAAAGGGACTTTGGGGGTCAGGATTGACCACAAGATGAATATGAGCCACCAGTGCAATGTTGCAGCTGGTAAAGCAAGCAAAACTCTGACTTGCATCCATAGATGCTTCTTAAGCAGATCCCAGGATGTCATCCTCCCACTGTACTCGGCCTTGGTGAGGCTGCAGCTGGAATACTGCATCCAATTCTAGGCTCCACAATTTAAAAAGGATGTGGAGAAGCTTGAGACAGTCCAGAGGAGAGCCACGTGCATGATCAGAGGGCAGGAGAACAGGCCTTATGATGAGACGCTGAGAGCCATGGGACTCTTAAGCCTGGAAAGCGCAGGCTTAGGGGTGACTTAGTGGCTGCCTATATGTACATAAGGGGTGTGCATCAGAATCTGGGGGAACGTCTGTTCACCAGAGCGCCCCAAGGGATGACAAGGTCAGATGGTCAAATACTCCTCCAAGACCGTTTCAGGCTGGACACAAGGAAGAACTTCTTTACTGTCCGAGCCCCCAAGGCCTGGAACAGATGGCGCGCAGGCTTAGGGGTGACTTAGTGGCTGCCTATATGTACATAAGGGGTGTGCATCAGAATCTGGGGGAACGTCTGTTCACCAGAGCGCCCCAAGGGATGACAAGGTCAGATGGTCAAATACTCCTCCAAGACCGTTTCAGGCTGGACACAAGGAAGAACTTCTTTACTGTCCGAGCCCCCAAGGCCTGGAACAGATGGCCTCCAGAGATGCTGCAAGCACCTACTCTGGGCTCCTTTAAGAGACATTTGGACGTTTTTCTTGCTAGGACCCTTTGACCCCAGCTGACTTCCTGCCCCTGAGGCAGGGGGCTGGACTCAATCTTCGGAGGTCCCTTCCAGCCCTAATGTCTATGAAATCAGAACTCTCATTTCATTTTATTTGTAGTGGTTGAAAGCTTCATCAAATTAAAAGCACCTTTACTCAGGCCTCTTACAAACCTCACAGGCCTGGGTTTCATATTGATTTCTCCTGTTCCTGTGAGCAGCTTCACTGCCTCTTGTTACCATTCTGTACCATAGCTGATTTGGCACAGAGATGATTAAATCATGAAGTTTTAGGAAGGGGTTGTCTCTCTATCCTTCCAATGTCTTCTCACAATATAGATGGAGTTTAGTACAGATAGGCACATAGCATGTGTTGGGTTGTGTATTATGCAGGCTCTTCAGGCATCTCTGCCCTTGTATCAGTTGTAAAATCTGTACCCTGTGCCATTCAGTTGCCCTCTTCCTCCTAAGTTCTACCAGTGCACTTCAGTTCTGACCAGCAGCTATTCTTAAACTTCCAGTCTTGGGCCCCCTGTGCAACTCTACTACTAACTTTCAATCCTGACCTGTTAAAACTGGAGTTCCTTGGAAAATGCTAGTCTGTATGAGCAATACAGCTTTCTCTGGTGCTTAAACATGGATCAGTATCTGTGTACTTCTTGCCTGCCGAGAGGCTTTTTTGAACCATTGTCCTCTATGGCTTGCCTGAATGGGAAGCTAATTTTTATGCTTCTTGGTGAGTGTAGAGATGTGGTGTTAACTTTATTGATATTTTCCTGTCTTTCCGATTCTGCTTTTTCCCAGAGGTTCACCCAGAGCATGAAACTGGATAATGAGATGGAGCGGCTCACCTTGGAGCACGGCACAATGCTGGGCCCACCAACAGACCAGGAGCGTGCCGAGGAGTCTGCAAAGAAGAGGCTGACTAATAAAGTAAGACACCAACTTTTCAGAACAGGACTGCATATATTCTTAATTGTTTCTGTCTGCCTTCTGGACCATGCTTGTGGATTCAGTGTTGGGGGAGGGGGGGTTCAACTTTTCCGCTATATTGAGAGAGCTGTAGGACAAAAAAAAAAATTGCTTGTTGTTTCTCTTGGGAAATGTGGTGGGGGGGAGTGGAGATGAGGGAGACTATGTGCTCCCAAAACTAACAAAATGGGCTCTTTTAACCATGAACTCAGAAGCTTTGGTAAATATTTAAAACATCAAGCAGAATGCAATTTCACACTGATAGAGGGTCCCAAAGTCTTATACCTCAATAAATCCAAACAAAAAGTGCTCAGTTTTCAAGTGAAGTAATATCATTTCTAACTGTCAGTATGGCAGACTCAGCCTATCAGTCAAACCTGTGAGAGAGTCAAGTCAGGCAGATTGACACCTTTTAAGCTTTCAGCAGCAGTGAAGCATCTCCTTTGTCCTGAGGACTCTAGAGGAAGTTGAGCAGAATCCAGCTCCGTCTTAATCTGTCAGTCAGCCCAAATTTAAGAAAAAAAACAAACAAACAACTAGACACTTATTTAGTCACTAAAGTCAGCAGAATCGCCGTTCAGTACCTCCATGGAGCAATTGTGTTGGAAAATTGAGGTTTATGTCTTAAACAAGGAAACTGTTTTCTTTAGGAGCTGGAAGCTTGGGACCACATGGAGCAGGAGTGGGATTCCTCTCCTCAGTTTCATTCCTCAATCCCTGCTGCGAGGTCAACAGCTATTTGTTTAACCCTGTTGTAGGTGCTGCTGAATTAAGGCTCTTACCATGTCAGTTTGTACAGCTAGACTGCATCTGTTACAGGATTAACTCTGTAGCTGTTGTAGTACAAGTGTCTCCCACAGGGGTTAGGGAGTGATGCTGATGAGAGGACTCTGCTTCTGTTCTGCATGGCTGGAGCCTGCAGTCCCTGCACAGTGGTAAGTAGAACTGCCTGTTTCCCAACCCTCCAACACCCCCTTTTTCTCTGTTTTAGGAAGAAAAAAAAATGGACATGTGGTATGCACATAAATATGGTGGTTCTGAGCTGTACTGTCTTGCTGCACTATGGGCATGTGTGTGGGTGTTCAGTGTGGCTTGGGTCTCAGGTTCTTTCCCATTTGCAATGTAGCATCTTGACTGTGGACTCTGAGCTTCTTTCTAGCCCGTCTATTTTAGAGCTGGGACACTTATGCTTTATCCATATTTCCTCTGCCAAATAACTCCTCGCATAAGCCGTCTAGCTAACAGCCTTTCAGTCTCCTGCCAGACTGAAACACCACTCTTGCAAACAGGCACTAGGTGGCACTCCAGAGCAATATAATCTAAACCAGTGGTTCACTGCTATTTTAGGTTCAGGGCACCCCTCCAGAAGTGTTTTGTTGTTTTATGTGTGTGTGTTTTAATTTGACAGTGTCCTGGTTGAGAACCACTGTTGTGCTGTCTTAGCTTATCTTGGTGGTTCTCAGCCAGGTTCCTCTTGTCACCACAGCCAGGTGGAATTGCACCATGTGCCATATCCAGAACCAAAGTGAGAAGGGCTGTGGCAGATATATCTACTCTTGCTGCAGCCTTTTCTGGTCTGACCCTGTACACTCCTCCTGGAAACAGGAATACAGGCAGATGAAACTACCCCCTGCACCTGTTTCTTGGAAGAGCATGCAGGGTTGGACTGGGAAGGACTGTGGTGAAGCAGGCAGGAGAATCTGCTTCTAGGGTGATTAGATAACCCTAATGTAGGCAGAAGCACTTACTCCTGCCTCAGGTCAAGTTCTTCATGAGGCGCACATGGCAGTTTCAACTGGTTACAGTGGAGGTGGCAATGCTGAGGCACCCAAGTTGGGAACCCCGATCTAAATATTCCAATAACTTAGACCATAGTAGCAGGATACTCCTGGCCTATGCTCATTGCATGTTGGCCCCTAGTACTCAATGACAAGCCACCAGCAGGATGCATCTGATGGTAGTGCCTGTGCTCAAATAGCAGAGATTAGTTCCCGAAGGCTATCACCTGGCGTTGATAAGTGCTCTTTGTTTTAATGCACTTTATTGTTGAGAAGGGAGATGTTGTCAGGCATTCTCTGGAGACAAAAGAACATGGCTTCAGCAGGTCTAACTGACGCTCTGGGGTCGTGTCCAAAGATAGCCAAGCAAAATTATTGCAGTTACCCCTTGGGCCTCATGTCTGCTCCTTGCTAATACCCATTCTCAGAAATATGTTGTATGAGTGGGTATCTTGCACATCTGCAGGGAGCCTATAGCAAGTCATAACTGCTTATCCTGTTGTATGATAATACATGAGAAAATGTATTTCAGGGGCAGAAGAGTTTTGAAATGTTATGGCAGTTTTTTGCATTAGAAACAATAGGTTGAAAAAAGGAAGGGAATAGTTACTGATCCAAAGTACTGTGCATCCAAGTACTGGGTAAAACTGAGGAGGCTCCCTAATTTTGTTTGGCTTCCATTTGATAGCTCTTAGCAGAACATGCGGATACCCTCCATTTGACATCTGGCTTCGAGGCAACTATCAGCAAATTTGACAGCAATTTCTCAACACATCTCTTAGACCTTCTGGACAAGCTGAGTGTTTACAGCACCAATGACTGTGAACACAGTATGCTGAATATAATCTACAGGTGAGATCACTGTAGCTAGGAAAGTGTCGCATTGCCTGAAATGCAGTGAAAAGTACTGGAATGCTTTCCTTTTGCCTTTTTGAGGCATTCTAGAAGCTCATTGTGCAGCCACACTGGTCTCTCATCGTTCTTCCTATGATTCCCTCATGTTGGAACAGTTTCTTGTTGGACTGCCAATACTGTGCTCTTCAGAAGCTTCCTCCTGGGTGCCTTTATTTTTTGTAATTTTTTTTTTTTTTTAAATTGGCAAACTGATTTTTTAGAAATTCTAGTCAATATGCCTCCCAGAACTATAATTGACTTCTGTTAAGACTTTAATGGATATGGCTGTTGTGAACCATAAAGAATGGTAACTGGTTTTAATCACAAGCTTCTCCAGCTTACATATCTTGATTCCTCTGGAATTTTGGGAACTTTTGATCTGTGGAGCTTGTTAACAGTTCCCCTTCTGTTTTCACACATCTTGGAAAAACTGGAATAGGAAAACTGACTACTATTTGCTTTCCCTCAGGTTGGACTTCAATGGGTTCTACACTGAGCGCCTGGAACATATGTCTGCAGAAAGGAGTCAGAAAGCAGCTCCTCCAGCTCTTCTGCTTCCTAAGGCTGTTGTGCCTGCCCAGTAAATCTCTTTGCCTGTTGCGTGTTTCAGATGCTTCACTTTTCACATAAGCAGAGTAAAATAAATTTAGCAAGTTTAATATCTTTTAACTAACAATTTAATCTCCATGCATGCTATAAAACAGTAGGTATCTAAGAGTGAAGTCATTTCACTTTCTGACATGTGAGTATGTAAAGGATTTTGTCCCTTCTGAGAGAGTTTTGTTAACATTTTTTAAACAGATATTAAAACTATGTGTACATGTGTTGCATGTGATATAAAGAAATAAAGGTCAGAATTATTTGGTCTCTATTACCAGAATTTAAAGTTCAGCTTAGTCATTTTACTGACTGAAACTTGGTCACTTCATGGAGTTTTGCTACTTTGTGGTTCTGTATTTGAAGATTTTATGACAGGCCATTGACTTAGTGCCTGATCAGAAGGCCATTTTCTCAGTGTCTGGCTGAAGCTGGAGCAGGGATACAAGGCGTGTGTCTGAGGCAGAACCCCAAAAGCAACGAGTAGCACTTCTAGATTGGGAGGAGTGACCTGGAGTAGGAGGAGTGATCACATCAGCCCTCCTTGTCACTCCTTAGATCTGTATACAGGCAACCCTTGCTATTCGCAAGGGATATGTACCCGTGATCCCCCGCAAATGGCAAAATCCATGAGTAGGGCACTGTGTTCATGAATGCAGTGCCCCCTGTGGCTGGAGGGGTGGGGGTGGCATGGTTCTTGTGGTGGGGGCATGGCGGCAGCAAGTGCGAAGCTCCCGAGGAACTCCAGTAAGTATTTAAAGTGCATTTAAAATCCGGGTTTGGCATTCGCAAATAGTTGAAACTGTGAATGCTGAACCCATGAATACCGAGGATTTCCTGTATTGTGAGTTCTATTCAAACAGTGGGTATTGTCTTTAAAATTGCCCTGCCCTTTATGTCCTTGCTTTACAGCATGCACAGTGAGTATGAGCTGTATGCATGTCCTCTCATGCGTAGGAACTCCACCTCAACTTGTGGCATTTCCTACTCCATTTTGTTTGGGAGGATGCAGTGTTCCCCATGCACAGATAGGGCAAATCTTATTCAATCTAGCTGTTACAAGATCCACTAGTAATCCCCATTAATTGTTAGAGTGTGGGAACCATTCGTGTTCATGTCCTTTTCCTCTATGCTTCTCTAGACCCTCCATTGGGGTATACTTATAGAACTGGCTTTCCCCTTGCCCATTGCTGAAAGAAGGGTTTCTGATCTGTAGAGAAAGCTCTATGTAGAACTGCTGTCATCCTTGTGAGTTTGAGGAGAATTGGCCATTGCTTCATGGGACACATCTTGTCATAGCTGATCCACTTAATTTGGTGATGTCTGTTTATACCTTAAGAGTCACTGGAATGGGGAAGGAGGGGGAGGTGGAAAAGAGAGGTTGTCTGTGGGTTGTATGTTGCTAACCCTGGTGTAGAGTACACAGACGTTGTTAGCCAATAAGAAGTTATGTTCACTGGGTCAGTTCAGGCACTCTTCCTTGGATCTCTGTTCAGCACAAAGTGCGGCATCCACAGTTACTCAAGAGCATGGCTATTGATATTGGTTCATCTTCGTATACTATCATGGTGGTTAAATTGTTCATCCAGGCAATTAAAAACCTCATTCTAAGCCATTGTCAGCCTGGAAGGATTCAAGCCAATATGACTCTTGGCGGGGAGCAAACAAGGCATGTTGCAAGCAGTTCACAAATCAGTTAGCAAGTCAGTTTGTCACCCCCCACCCTCCCCTCTTTGCAGGGAAGCCTTAAGGTAAGCTCTTTCTTTTAAGAGTAGCTAACCTACATATATTTAGTGTAAGTAGCTAAAAACTAGTAGCTAGATTGGTACTTAAGCCCCTTGCTTAACTAGAGTTGTAAGTGAGGGGGGGTTCACCAGGGAGTTAACCTAGAAACTCTTTCTGTTCCTTCATTGTAAGATTGATGAGTGGAAGCAGGGAAAGGGAACCTTTTGGGATTAAGGAGGAGCGAACAGGCCAGTTTACAGGGGTATTGGCTAGGTAAGGTCTGCTTTGAAAGAAGAGCAGGAAAAGAGAGGTGGCAGATTGAGCCCCAGAGAAATGGTTGTAACGTTGCTGTGCCAGTGCCACTGCTACTGCCAGCTCCTCCTCTGCTTGCACCTGTGAGGTGTCCATCCAGGCAAGACTGCTCACCATTGAGGTTTCCACCCAAGTCTTGTTTTGTCACTGTGGAGACTGGCTTTCAGGTTAGGATAGAGAGCTACAGGAGGAAGGGGCAAGGCTCTAAAGCATCCTCCACCACAAGGACTTAATTGATTTAATGCTGGAGGAGACCTCAAGGACTGTGGAGGTGGCACTGGAGAAGGAAGAGAATGTGGATTCCCAGGAAGGTGGGAGGTGGCTTCTCACCTCTGGCAGGAAGCAGAAGTCTTCATTTTCACTTGTGGTGGTTTGCTTGAAGAACAGATTTGGAATCCTAGCAACAAAGGAGCAGGAGCACAAGCACGTTCTATTAGTGGAGGAGCCCAGACCAGGCACACCCAAGGTTGGGAGGTTCGAGACTGCTGCCACCAAGAGGAAGCAATGCATGGTGGTGGATGGAAACCCCCTTCTGCAAAGGATGGAGGCATCCATCTGCTGGCCTGACCTGTTATCTTGGGAGGTCTGCTGCTTGCCTAGAGCCTGGATCCAAGATGTCACAGAGGGATTTGCAAGGCTTATCTGGCCCTCTGACTACTACCCCCATGCTGCCATGTGGCACCAGTGATGCTGCCAGGGGTGACCCTGTGCAGATCAAAAGTGACTACAGGGCTTTGGGTGCAAGGGTGAAGGGTACAGGGGCTCAGGTGGTATTCTGAATCCTTTTGGTCAAGGGGAAGGGCCCAGATAGGAGTGGACATATCCTGCACATCAATGCATGGCTGCACAGATGGTGTCACTAAGAGGGTTTAGGCTTTTTCAACCATGGGATGTTTCTTCCAAGACGAAGCATTGCTAGGAAGAGAGGGGATCCTTCTGACAAAGAGAGGGAAGAGCATCTTCACAGGCAGGCTCGCTAGCCTAGTGAGGAGGGCTTTAAATTAGGTTTTCTGGGGGGTGGAGACCAAAGTCCTAAGGTAAGTGGGGAAGCAGGGGACCTGGAGGAAGCACAAGTAAGAGGGGACAATAGAGGAGGCCTTCTCATTCTTGCTGAGAAAGTAGGGCAATTGACTAGTTACCTCAGGTGTGTGTACATGAGTGTACAGAGCCTGGGAAACAAACAGGAGGAACTGGAAGTCTTCACAGTCATGGAACTATGAAATAATAGAGACTTGGTGGGATAGCTCACATGATTGCAGCTCTGTCATGGATGGATATAAACTGTTCAGGAAGAACAGGCAGGGGAGAAAAGGAGGAGTTGCACACAACACTGAAAGTGGACAGAGGGACTACAGTTGAAGGAGAGTGGGGAATGGGTCCAAAGATGTCCCCAGGGGGTGGATGTGTCTGGTTGTTAGGGTGCGTGCAGGCTCCAAAGCTGACCTCAAGCCAGGTAATGAGCAAAGAATGGCTTGCTAGTCATTGTGCAGGGAAGTTAAGTGGGTGAGGTCACCTGTGCCTTGTTACCTCTGGGCAGTAGAGATCTGCCACACGTTACCTCAAGCTCAAGAGCGGCCAGGATTGGGACAGAAGCATTGTACTGTGGGATGCCTGGAGGACCAACGTGGACTGCTTGTCTCAGTATCCATTAACAACAGGCTAATGGAAAGCATCATTTTGAGAGAGAGCCAATACGGCTTCGTTACAGGGCCTGACCAACCTCATTTCCTTCTATGACCAGGTGACGCGTTACCTGGGCAAGGGAGGAGAGGCTGATGTTATTTACTTGGATTTCAGAAAAGACTTTGACTTGGTCTCCCATGATATCCTCATGGTAAAATTGGGGAGCTGCAGCTTTGACAACCTTACGGTCCAATGGCTGGGGGACTGGCTCCGTGGTTGGACCCAGAGAGTGATTGTCAATGGAACTGAGTCAACGTGGCACATGATGACCAGTGGCATCCCCCAGGGTTCAGTTCTTGGACCAGTACTCTTTAATATATTCATAAACTATTTGGATTCAGGTGTCAGAAGCAGACTGGCTAAGTTTGCAGATGACACCAAATTATGGGGAAGCATGGTCACTCTAGAGGATAGGCTGGGGATTCGGGCCAACCTGAACTGGCTTGCAAGATGGGCAGATCAAAACCTGATGACATTCAACACAGAGAAATGCAAGGTGCTTCACCTCTGGAGAAAGAATCCATGTCATACTTATACGCTTGGCAGTGCTAAACTCACTAGCACCATGACCGAAAGAGACTCAGGGGTTGTGATTGACCACAAGATGAATATGAGCCACCAATGCAATGCCACAGCCAGCGAAGCAAATAAAATCCTGGCTTGCATCTACTAAGATCAACCAAGATCCAAGATGTCATCCTCCTGCTTTACTCGACCTTGGTGAGGACACAGCTGGAGTGCTACATCCAATTCTGGACTCCACACTTAAAAAAGGATATGGAAAAGCTTGAGGGAGTTCAGGAGGAGAGCCATGTGCCTGATCAGAGGTCTTGAGAGCAGGCCTTATGAAGAGAAGTTGAGAGGTATGGGACTTGGTGGCAGCCTATAAGTACATAAGGTGTGTGCACCAGGATCTGGGAGAACTCTTGGGGTGCCCTGGTGAACAGACAAAGATAAGGTCTAACAGTCACAAACTGCTGGAAGATTGTTTTAGAGTGGACATAAGGAAAAACTTCTTAACTGTCTGATTCTCCAGAGCCTGGAATAGACTCTCCCCAGAAGTGGTGCGAGCACCTACTCTGAACATGTTCATGATGCATTTGGATGATTATCTTGCTGGGGTTATCTGACCCCAGCTGACTTCCTGCCTTTTGGGCAGGGGGCTGGACCCAATGATCCCGCGAGGTCCCTTCCAGCCCTAATGTCTATGAAATCTTTAAAATCTAGGATGTCTTTCCACAGCAAGAGTTCAGACGCACCTTATGATATCCAAGAACTGTTAGTCCTTTTTATCTCACATGGATTTTTGGCCTTTGGGCTACCAGAAATGGACATCTGAATAACTACACGTTGTTCCAGGGGAAAAATGTTTTTTTCCTGGGCAAGCACAACATCTGTTCCTAGCCTTAGTACATTAACTGCTTTGTTTATCTCTTCAACTCATCTTTGTGTCTCTTAGCTGTGACATTCATCCTCTTTTTTATCCTTAGCTTCATTCATCATTTTTTATCCTTTGTAACTGACCTTATTCCTTTCTATTTAATATCTCTGTTTTCT